GTGATTGACCCGTCGCGTGAATCGCGCAAATCGCGAAAATCAGCGAAACCTGCGACGGATCGCGGACTCTGACACCAGCCTAAGGGGTCCGTCTGCCTTTCGACGCGACGTTCCTTTTCTTCAACCTCCGACCTTATCGTGAAATCCTTTGCGATCAAGTTCCTTTCTGGACTCCTTTCACTGACCACTTCCATCATTTGCTCCATCCGCACTCTTGTCTCCCAAAAGGTTTGTATGTGAGGCTTAGATGGCTGCGTCACTATAACTGACAATCGATGAAGCTTTAGGTTTCACCGCTAAATTATAGCTGCTTCGTTAAATGTATTACTGTCCGTTGCATAGGCTGGCTGTATCTCACTGTTTGATAAGCGCAGTGAAGTGCACAGCTAAAGTGATGATGTAAACAACCACTATGCGTCGAGTATCGAGGTAATTTAGCGGTCGAATATCTCAAAACGGAATGCCCAGTATTCATTATCATATTTATTCGAGCATCCCATTCATCCTCAAGAACTCTAGAAGGTGTAGCGGTCGAAAGGCTTGAGTTTACAATTACAACGCTGATGAAATGATATTGAAATGAAAGGCATTATCTACAATCTGCTCTCTATTTTCTATTTCAAGTGCTCTCTACGTTCGTACGCATATCGTTACTATCAGTCCTCATCAGTCGTTATCACTTTGTGACCCCCACCAAATATGTTCCCGTCCCCATATCATATCTTGAAACCAACTCTTGATGACCACTGGTGTCCGAGCTATGGATGTCGCGACACTTGCGTTCTACCACCTTTTATCAGCCCTTATCAGTCGTTATCATTTTCTGTACCCCACCAAATATGTTCCCGTCCCACCCCCTATATCATATCTTGAAACCAACTCTTGATGACCACTGGTGTCCGAGCTATGAATTTCGCGACACTTGCGTTCTAGCGCCTTTTATCAGCCCTTATCAGTTGTTATCATTTTCTGTACCCCACCAAATATGTTCCCGTCCCACCCCCTATATCATATCTTGAAACCAACTCCTGACGACCACTGGTGCCCGAGCTATGAATTTCGCGACACTTGCGTTCTAGCGCCTTTTATCAGCCCTTATCAGTTGTTATCACTTTCTGTACCCCACCAAATATGTTCCCGTCCCACCCCCTATATCATATCTTGAAACCAACTCCTGACGACCACTGGTGCCCGAGCTATGAATTTCGCGACACTTGCGTTCTAGCGCCTTTTATCAGCCCTTATCAGTTGTTATCACTTTCTGTACCCCACCAAATATGTTCCCGTCCCACCCCCTATATCATATCTTGAAACCAACTCCTGACGACCACTGGTGCCCGAGCTATGAATTTCCGGTCAGACAGACAAACACATACACACACACACACACACACACACACACACACACACACACACACACACACACAACCGCTTAGCCGATTGTCTCCCAAAAGGTTTGTATGTGAGGCTTAGATGGCTGCGTCACTATATTTTCATATTTTCACGTCGCAAAAAAGTCATTCTCCCTCCACATTCGAAACGAATTAATCATACTTTACTGAGTTCAAACCGAACACACTCAACTGAACAGAAAGACACATTCCAAGTCATAACACTAGCATTCTATTCCTTTTCTGTTTTATACATTCGTTTCTAATACAACTTGTTATTTCTAAAATTCTACACTGAGGACATCGGAAGAGTCTTCCACCGGGACATGGTGCGCAGTTCGAGCTCAACGAGGTCTTTAACTGATCATGGTCCATTAAGAATTATAAAGCAATGGTCGTAAGGGAGCTTAGCTAGAATTTGCTTCACTCTTCATGATTCATGGATTTCTCGTTTCCACTTCTCGCCAACATGCCGCGCGCCGCGGGGCGCTGCCCCCCCCCCCTCCTCGAGCCACACGCCTGAATGTCATATATCACGGTACTGGATAACATTCATGCACAAGCTTACAGCGAAATTGATCAAAACAGTGTTGCGCCAAATTGGATGCTTGGCAAGCTGGGAAAATTGGCCAATTGGTGCAAAATTGGGTCAATGCCGGTAATGGGGCCGTATGCTTCTTCCCCACTCCCCCCCCCTCCCCTGCTATTGTTCCTTGGCCTTGGGGAAGAGGAAACAGGGCTTCGCTACGCTACCCACCATTAACCAATTGGTGCTGCATAAATCCTCGTTGGAACACTGTATGCTCGTTGCTTTAGTTGTCTCGAATGTTTAGATAGCAGAAACGAGGAGGTATGGCGGGTCTCATGGCCCGACACTGTCTTCCCCGGCGGCCTTTATTGCTATCGGCGCACGAAATACCTAAATACCATATACAATTTCAACGAGAGGTGAAATCTCAATTTTTCTGGGTTGTGACCAGGGTCAAGCGTGCGTTGAGGAATCCTCGACACGTCACAGGGGGGGGGGTCGTATTGGCCCGCTGGGGAAGAGATCGGGCCCGATTGATGCAGTAGGATCATCACCGTCGGAGGACAAACATCAAGGATCGAGTCGATGCCAGGCCAGAGGATTTCCAATAACAATGATATTCCACCCACACAAAATCTTTCGTGATTCTGAGGTGTCCGCTTAGCAATTCTTAGTTACTTCAGTGTTTTATCACCACACAAGTTAAAGAATCCGAAATTCGCACGTTTTCCAAGAGATATTTTATCTTTCAAGTGAGTCCTCGAATCTGAAGGGATGTGAAGCACACGGCGCATCCCAGAGTGGGCCCAGTTGTTGCGCGCGCTTCAACTACGGCTCTCTGGAGAAAGAATCTCAATTCAGGAAAAATCAAGAGGATTCTGAAAGGGTTCATGTGAAATTACAGGGAGGAGTACACTATTCAACAAGAAACGCAGCCTTCAGCGTCAAATTCACAAGCATGTAACCTTAAAGTTGAGACACGCTAAACAATTTTACACTTTTTGGAAAGAGAAAAGCACGAGGATTCCGAATCTGCTCCTACTTTAGTACATAATCGCCCCTGAAAGGAGCTATAGTCGTTGAAATAGTGCCAATGCAGCGAAAAAGTACCTTTCGGCGGTACTCGGGCAAAAATCCTCAACGTGGCCATTTTTTAATACTGGACGTATTAAGCTGCTTTAGCAACCGTTTGATAGAGAAAATCTTCTAGTTTTGTCTGCCGTATTAACTTTTCGATTTGACGAAAATGAAGCAAGTTATGGCTTCGGAAAGTGTAAAAACTCGTGCTCATCATGAATTTTCCTCGTTAATTGATCTAAATTTGTTATTTCTTATAAATTTTTGTAATTTCAATACTGATTAGAAAGAGCTCTTCACAAAACTCCCAAATCTGCTTTCAGATTGAAAATTCGTCATATTTGAAGAAAGTTATAATCATTTGAATATTTGTTCAAATTTCAATAGTAGATAAGCTGCTCCACGGTCAACGCCAAAGTCCAGTCAACACACAGCTGGCGAAGGCGGTTAAAGGCTTCTTTCAACTGAAGGGGGACGTGTAAATTGAGAACCATACTCTGTGTAGTACTAAAATTTGGTAAGTCTTGTGAAGGAAATAAATAAAGAAGAGATGTTGTCATAGTATGCCATTTTTAGTGACTAGTTTGTCGTTTTTGCTCCGTTTGTCGGTAGAACTCATTAATAGTGCTCATTCTTTACTTGAACGAATTATCTGGTAGACGGTGGGGTAGCAGGGCTTTTTTATGAACAGTTTTGGGGGAGAATTAAACAACCTTTTCATAGTTCGGCTTTTGAAGAGGGTCGTTTCATGGACTTCGGCCTCTGGGGGAGGGAGGGGGGGGGGTATATTCCAAATTTTCCTCGACGGTTCGCTTGTACCTAGTTGTAACAGTTGAATAGTGCCAAGTTATCAAACCCTCAATATCGACCTGTTGTAAAAGAACCATAACTAGTTCTTCGATATCAAACTACCTTAACATGAAAATGTGAACGACCACGCTTCTCACAGACTTCCACTCGATACCTTTTATTTGAAACCGATCCGGACCCTTCCTTATTTGATTGGCATACAGCGAGCAGAGAGGTGGAACTCGGGTTCGGAAGGGGCACGCGATGGTGCGGCGCTGATTTCGTCTGCTCTACCAAGGCTTAGTCACCGATGGCGCGTATTTTGAAACTGCACATAAGGCCGATGTCATAGTTTGCGAATCGAGCGATTCGCTAGCGAATCGCTGGATCCGAGCGTTGCGCCAGCGAATCGAACGATTGCACCAGCGAGTCGAACTAGGTACCAGCGACTCAATAGTGGCGGGACCCAACGTTCAAAGGAAGCCCGCCACTTTCAAACAGTGTCACGTGACAGTGGACCCTGTTTGAAAGTGGCGGGACTTTGGGTGGGTGGACGCTGGTACCTAGTTCGACTCGCTGGTGCAACGCTCGGATCCAGCGATTTGCTAGCGAATCGCTCGATTCGCAAACTATGACATCGGCTTAATGGTGAGAGAACAGCTGCCTCTGAGGACGCCTTGGAGGAACCGACAAACAGAGCGCCGCGCCATCGCGTGCCCACCCCCCGAACCCGAGTTTCACCAACGAGGGTAATGTTTAAGAAAATGATGCAGATATTTTTTCAAATACATAGTCAGGGATTCCATTACAAAACCTATCATTCTGCCTATATGTCGTGGATCTAGCAGCGATGGTGGCACAAAGGTGTGAAAGCATTCGAATTTCTTAGCGCTAGGGAACTTGCGAGAAAACGTGACCCAATGCGGAATTGCAGAGTGGGCTGGTCCTACGTAGAACACCTTGCAATTCACTTGATTTAACGATATTTTGTACTAGTGACATGGAACTTGGGTGTTTGCCAGACAGAACACACTGTGGAAACCACGTCAGGGTAGTGTTCAATTTGCTCTTTGCCTAATTTTGCGCATCTTCTTCATCCAAAGTTTTTTCCGCACATTTTTGCACAACCATAGGCAGTGAGGCGTTCATCTCTCGCTGTAGACACGTCAGTTGCTTTCTTCGTTTTTTTTTCATTTCTAAACTTTAGGAGGGTGATGTTTGCGCCTCCGTTCCCTCCTGCAAGTGGAGGGGCACCACAAGGACAGCCAGGCGTCCCGTTTCCGCCGCAGAATTCGAATGCGCCAAGTGGTCCTTTTCAGCCTCGTGCGTTTTTATGGATTTTTAGCAGAATTTGAGCCGCGATTGATCTGAATCTTGTTTCAGCTCAGTTTGGCGGCTACCCGAAACCATCTTTCGACTCGTCACAAGGATATAGCAACACTCCACAGGCAGAAAATTCTTCGAATTATTCACAATCTTCTCATCCGCAAGCAAAACCGTTTCCACCTGGTCTCAATTCCACAGCACCGTCTCAGCAGCATCACGTTGGACCTCCGACCATGAATGGTGTTCCTGGAGCTGGATCGCACCCTCCATCCCATCAGGGCTATCAATCTCCAGCAAATGGCTTTGCACCACATTCAGCTGCCAATATTCAGAGCCCACAACAGGCTGCTTCAGCAACTTCTCAGTCAAATGGTCCTGCACCACCGACATCAGCCCAATCTCGCCCTGCCCCTTTCCCTCCTCAGCCTACGCAGTCATTCCCGAACACGAATCAAGCCCCGCAGCAGTCTTATGGCATTGGTGCTCAGCAGAGTCACTCAAATCAGGGCTATCCACAAACGAGTGCGTTCCAACCACCACAAGTTTCCCAACAGCATCCAGCTGGAGCTCAAACTGCTCATGGTGAGAGTCTCTTCGCATATCCCTTACACAGATGGACATGGAACAACAGCTTTTTTCAGGTGGAGCGCCGCCGCCACAAAACGCCGGTTTTCCTGCTCCAGGTCCAGGTACTTGTAACTAGAGCGTTACATCTTCACCTTACCTGTATCTTATTATTTTCATCCTTTACAGCTGTCAGCAGCCAATCTCATTTTGGAGGTGGTCCTCCCAGTATGCCCGGAAGTTTCCCTCCTGGTTTATCTGGAGCCGGTCGTGGTATGTCGGGGGCAGCTCATCCTGGAATGCCGGGAGCCGGTCCTCCTGGTATGCCTGTAGCTGGTCCTCCTGGTATGCCTGGAGCTGGTCCTCCTGGTATGCCTGGTGCTGGTCATCCAGGTATGCCTAGCTCCGGATATCCTGGTATGCCTAGTGCAGGTCTAGGTATGCCCAGTGCAGGTCCAGGTATGCCCGGTGCAGGTCCAGGTATGCCCGGTGCAGGTCCAGGTATGCCCGGTGCAGGTTCAGGTATGCATGGTGCTGGTCCAGGTATGCTTGGTGCTGGTGCTCCTGGCATGCCGGGTACTGGTCCTCCAGCCATGCCTGGTATGCCAAATGTTGGCCCACAAGGCATGCCTGGCGTCGGTCATCCTGGAATGCCGGGTGGTGGGCCTCCCGGCATGCTCGGTGCTGGTCCTCCTGGTATGCCAGGATTTTCTCAAGGACCTGGTATGCCACCTGGTGGTCCATCCATGCAGCCTCGTCAACCGCAACCTCAACCACAACAGCGCCTTGATCCAAACATGATGCCAAGTGCGGTATGGTGATTCTACTTGATCATACGTTTCTGTTTTGATGGGCCTCTGATGCTGTGTTTAGGTCGAAGTAATGGAAATAGATTCCGCACAAGCTGGACAATTCCCAACAGGTTAGTTTTAATTTTGAACGTATTTTACTTTCAGATTTTATGCATTTTCTAAGAAAAGTGTCTCAGGATACCCTCATGCGAACCCTCCTCCCCTTGTTTCTACGGACTTCTATGCTGTCGATCAAGGTGAGATTTCTAGTATCGAACAATAATTTATGTAACTTTTCATTTTAAGTGATTATCCCGGTAATCTTGAATGATCCACATATGTGATATTCAGGAAACTGCTCTCCGAGGCTAATGAGGTCCACAATGTATATGGCACCCGCTTCGAACGATTTGCTCAAATCTTCGCAGATTCCGTTTGCTGTAGCCTGTTCACCGTTTGCAACCCTCCATCCACAGGAGGTACGATAATTTTGAAAAAAAGGATGTAGCTAATAGCGACGTGAACTTTATAATGGTCTATTCTCGTTCAAGCTTAGCATTACATTTATAGCGCCCTGCACCTATCATAGATCTTGGACCAGGCGGACCTGTTCGCTGTCAGCGTTGTAAGGCATATATGTGCCCATTCATGGAATTCCAAGACGGTGGTCGTCGCTTCCGGTGCCCGTTTTGTCACGCTTCCACTCCAGGTTGGCTTGCTTACTGACACTGCGTTTTATTTAAGAGTTTTCAGCTTCTTCACGGTAAAGTTTCAAACATTTTTCTGAATATATCAGGCAGGGCAATTATGTGATTTTTTTCTCCTGCCTCACTTCACCACCGATTCGTTTTCGAATTGTTCTATTCAACATTTTCGGTCTGAAATTTATCTATGACGATTTTGCTGCAATTATTGGTTCCCTCCACATTTTTCTTTCTAGTACACAGATGGTAGAAAAACACCTTTTGGACGATTACGTCCTTCTTGTTGAAATTGGCTTTCTTCAGCCACGATCTGTTCTGTTCCACTGGAGAAAAAAAACCATTATGATGGGTGTTTCCAATGTTGTTTGGTACTTGAACTGCTGCTGGTTTAAGGATGGTAATAACAACCTTGCATGAATACTAGTAACAAATTGCTGTTCACGATAAAGTATTCATACACGAATTAATTATGGACTTGAGGGCGCGTGTTTTTTCGCTTAACAGAGGGTCTTAGCAACTGGCGCCACTCACCGCGCACCCGCCATAGCGATCAAATCTTGAATCTTATGCCATCCAGGCCAGTAAAGCCTTTCTTACTCTGATTCGACTAATTCGTACCAGGCTGATCGAGAAAAGAAACACTAACGTTTACATTGGGAGGCTCTGCAGATAGATCGTCCCAAAATGGAATTGATAAACGCCCATCGCCTAGTACTTCATGTATTACCGTAGACATTCGCGATGCTTTGAAATGTAAGCTTAAAAAAGTTTGTTGTTGAAGTTGCAAAAGTTGCTTCCAAATAAGTTTTTACGTTTGCATTGCAACATTTTTACTAACGTCCAATGAAAATGAACATGGTTTTTGTGTTCCACGCATGTATTTTGAGATTTAAAATTGTTTTGAAAAAGCATTCCATGTCTTGAGTGATTATCCCTTCAAAGAGTTTACCGCAATATCGAAACAGAGTATAATTCCGCCTCCCCCATTAATCAGGCAGGTGAAAAAAAACCGTAAAATTCCGGTGCGTCGTGTTCCTACTTCAATGTCACATACACATTACCAGTCTTCATTACATCATCTGCTGATGTTACGGTCTAGCATCCCTATTTGAATTCAGTGGAAGACGTCTACTTCGCTCATCTTGACCATACTGGTCGTCGAACCGACATCGACCATCGCCCGGAGTTGTTCTTAGGAGCCTACGAATTCATTGCTACCAAGCAATATTGTAAGGCAAGTTTTTTTTTTCGAAACTATTATATGTGTCACAACAACAGGTCAAATGCTAGCATAAATCCGACGCATCTGATCGATACGTACTTGATGGTAATGACCGATTGCTGCTTTGTTTTCAGAACGGCTTACCACCCAAAGAGCCGGCATTTATTTTTATGATAGATGTTTCTTACAACGCTATACAAAATGGTATGCTGCATGTGGTTTGTGCGAATCTTGAGAGAATCCTACATCGCTTGCCAAAGTGTGTTGCAAACACTTTATATTCCAGTCTTTGCTCTCTTTTTAATGCTGCTTCATTCAACGAAACTTTTTACAGAGAACTTGGTGCTTCTGAGTCAGTTATACATGTGGGACTCGCTACATTTGATCAAGTGGTGCACTTCTTCGACTTATCTGCTACTCAACCTTCGATGATGGTTGTAGGTTGGTATTCAGCAGTTGTACTGTGGAATGCGCTCGTTAAATTGTTCCAAAATTTCAGGAGATGTTGATGATATGTTTGTTCCTATTGTGGACGGCCTTCTTATGCCATATTCGCAAGCAGTACAGGCGATCCGAGCAGCTCTAGCGGAGATCCCTCGTCTGTTTTCATCGTCGAGAATAACGGAGACAATATTGGGCCCTGTCGTGCAGGCTGGACTGGATGCTCTTCAGGTTTGTATGATGATACTTTCACGCTTTGTAGTTGATGGTTAGGAGTGTATTAGTACATGTCACGTATTCCGCTAATTTATTAAGTAACTACAATTAACTTTTCCAAGTCGGTCCACCCATCACCTTGGGTGCTCCAGCTTTTGTGAATACAAAATTCTACGCAATTTTATTCGAAGAAATATTCAGTGTGCTGATCGTGCTGGTAAATTGATGATCTTTTCCACTTCATTGCCAACTGTGGAAGCTCCAGGGAAGTTGAAGACAAGAAATGAAAGGAATCTTCTAGGCACCGATAAAGAAAAGGTATCGATTTGTGCTGTTTATGATCCGGCAAGTTTTGTGCATTTTAAGTCGATGCCGCTCCATTGATGAAAAATAAATACCAAGAAGCAAGGGTAGAGTACTTAAGGAAACATAGACATATGAGGTAGAAAGAGCAAGATTGTGACCAGTAGATTGGGAACGGAAGGCGGTAACGATGTAAGGCTGAACATAGTTACCAAAACAGCTGAGAAAATTGTGAGTTCAATTTTAGTGCGGAGTGGCAGTAAAATAAGGTGTAATGAGTGTTATGGAGCGCGCAAAATTGGCGGCAACTGAGTAACTCAACCTCATGCTCCATAAATTGACCATGGTCATAGAAGGTTTGTGAAGGTATAGACTCGGTATCATTGTTTCCCTAATCTCATGTGATCAGTTTCGAACCTAGTAGAAAAAAGGTAGATAATAATATAACTGAGAACAGTGCCATTGGCAAAATGTTGTTTACTAGATTGGGCCCGAAAACGAAGTCAAGTGCTCTGTTTGATTTAATAGTTCTTCAAAACGTGTCTTCAAACCGCTCTCAACTTTGGAAGGATAACAAAGATTGTTTACGACTTATTAAAATCTGCAAATATTTAATCGACTTCCTCCAGGTAGAAATATTTTACATTGATTGCAGACCGCTCTTACACCACAAGGAGAGTTTTATACGAAACTTGGCGAACAATGTGTTAAAGCTGGTGTCACTGTGGATCTCTTCCTCTTCCCGAATTCATTTGTGGACGTCGCTTCTATCGCTCAGCTTTCGGCCGTAACTGGTGGAAACGTCTACAAGTATCAGTATTTCGTGGTTTGTTATTCACATCTTATGGAACTTTCCTGTATTACCTTTCATTGTCATTGGTATGACGAATTCTGTTAAGGCGGATAAAGATGCTCCTCGGTTCTTGGCTGATCTCAATCACGACGTTTCGCGGCAGATAGCGTTTGATTGCATGGCGAGGGTACGATCGAGTGCTGGTGAGCCACAATAGTTTCAATTTCCACTAGTGCAGATCTGTTGTTCATACACTGCATTCTCATTTAGGCATTAGACCTGTCCTCTTCCAAGGTTCATTTTTCATGGAAAATACAACGGATTTGGAAATGGCGTCAATAGACGAAGATAAGGTAAGCAGCGCTTTCACTCGAATTTACGATTTCTAGAAACTTGCGTTCACGAAATACATTTCAGACATTCTTCGCAGAGTTGAAACATGATGACAAGCTTACCGACCAAAATGCAATCATACAGGTCTGTTTGTTTGTCCGTTTTGTACCTCTTTTAAATTGTCCCAAAGTATAATGCTCTATCTAAAGACGATTGGCTATCGTCCAGAAATCTCTCCAAAATTGTTTGGTGCATCTAGGGTGACGAAGTATCACATTCAAGTGTTTGCAGCAGCACTTTTTATATATTTTCGAGGGGGGGGGGAGCATTTACTGAAATTTTAAGAATGACGTTTTCGTATGGAGCAATCACTCATGGATTTGAATTTGTTCATGTTGTCTTTTTCTTTTCCTTATTTCCTCTAACGTTTGAGAAAAGTGGTAAATAGTTGAAAAATAGTGAGATTGTGTGTTTCATCGTGAAGGATGAGTCCAACCATTGGCATTATAGCAGATACGCACGAGTTGGAACAAAATTGCTGGGTACCACACGATTGTAGCTCTTCTTCATTAGCAAAGCGTATCCCATTCTACTTGCTATGATATGATGACTTGAACTTGCTGTTACCAACACGCACTGAAAAAGTAAAACTGTTCGGCATTCCTAAGTGTGAATTGTAGTCACCAAACTTCATCGAAGGAGCAATGAAACGCGCTGTCGTTGATCGCTCTAATGTATGGAGATTTTTCCAATAAGGTTCAAATCCGATACTGATCCAATTCTGGTCTGTCTCTCTCCCATTTTGGAGAGATTAGCGGTACTTCCAAACGAATTCCGCCTTACCTCATGAGTGAGAGCGCTCCAGGAAATGTCCTGACTCTATCACAATGAGCGAATGCCTCAGTTCTCCGGCTGAGCCTGTATGGCTCGCCGATACCTATTTGCTTTCTTAAAATAATTTTTATCCGGGTTGTACCTATTTGCTTTCTTAAAATAATTTTTATCCGGGTTGAAATTAATAACGGGTAGCTATGGGTGGCATATGGAGTGTTCCTCCATTGTCTGAAACACTGTGTGAACGCTTAAAGCACCATTTTAAAATTTGTGACTGGTCACGAAATTGTTTCACATAGATGCGTAGAGATTTGATTTCTGAACTTGCTAAATATGCCATCGAAACACTTGTGCATCATTAATCTTGCTCACTCCATACATAAACATTTTTTTGTGACGCACTAAAGATTAGAAGCTATTTTTGAAAATCAGGGGTTGTAGTTATCCCTCAATGAAGCATATGATTTAGTGTGCGATTCTCTTTACATCAGTTAGTGGACAGCGCCGCCTACGTATTTTGAATCTGTGTCTTCCCGTGTCTTCAGACTATAATCAGCTCTATCGAGTAGCCGATCAGGGAGCACTGGTCTCATATCTGCTGAAAAATGGTGAGAGTTTCATTCTTTCTCTTTTGGATTCTTTATTCTTCATTCTCATCGTATTATTCTAGCCGTGCAAATAAATCGCGACAAGGGTCAAAAAGAGATGAAAGAACAAATTTTCCAGCGATGTGCACAAATTCTTGCAACGTACAGGTCTTTTTCTAGTTTACAGCCCCATATTTGTTCCTTTTTCAAAATCTTGAGGTTTTCAGAGAGAAAGTCAGCGAGTCCGCGCCTCTTGGTCAGCTGATATTACCTGAAACCTTGAAGCTCTTGCCTCTGTTTGTCAACTCTATTGTCAAAAACGATTCTATAAATGGAGGTAACTTCTTTAAGCTACTCCTTGATCACATTTCATATACGATAAGTTACTATATAGCCCTCTTTCTCGTTTTCTTAAGTCTACTTAACTTTAAAGGCAGTGAAATGACCGTGGACGATAAAGTTTGGATGATTGAACTGATCCGTGGAATGCGGATAGATCATACGATGTTATTGCTGTATCCGAAGTAAGTTGGTTGAATTGAATGTTGTAGAACTAGACAGATCGTGCTTTCTTGCAGGATTGCACCTGTTGATCACTTAGAACTACAGGATCCTCAAGAGATTACTTCCATCGCTAGCAGTGTCAGAGCAAGCTATGACAATCTTTCTAACACAAAGGTATACGTATTTATTTGCCTAGTTCTCGAGTCGTTCAACATTTATTTGTTGGCAGGCGTACTTGATCGACAACGGCATTGTGCTGTTCCTTTGGATTGGTCTAGGTGTTGCTGAATCTTGGGTTCAGGATATCTTTGGAGTTAATAATGTCGCTATGCTTGATACAGAGAACGTAGGTGCTCCAACTCGGTAGTGATGTCCAGAAGTTATCGGTTTATCGTTCAGGCTCAAATACCAGAAAAGGACAACCCGCGATCTAGAGGTCTTCGCCGAGCAGTTGAACTTCTTCAAGAGGTAGTTTATAATCTTTTTGGAGTTGAAGCACGCAGACGGTAACTTGTCATTTTTCCTTTCTATGAAAGAAGATGGCTCGGGACTGGTAAACACTATGCAAAGACTGGTGATCTTAAGCTTGATATTTCTTGTTTATTCTTGTCGGGCACACCATTGCAGACCATTATACTTCGTGTACCTCCGCTTTTTTCTGGCACTTTTCTCATCAGTAATTAGTGATCCAATCTGATGAATATCAGTACATATTCTGCGTCGGACGCGAAAAGTATAAGTACGTCTTGGGTGCTTGATAAAATAATTGCTTTCGTCAAAATTGGCTATTGTCCTCCGGATGGCTGCCTGGAACACCATCGCTCTGGGACACATTATCTGCAGCAAGTTAACTCTGTCTGTCTCGGGTCTGTTAAAACCAGTGTTCTAGTATGTATTCTAGTATGTGCTATATCATCTCCGTTGACGTCTGCAGAACAGTATCCCAAATACAATAGTTAGAAGTTTCACGAATCCACATTTCACCCAGTTGTGTCTTACAAAATATATTGCCTTACATGGTCCACGTGGTGAATATAATGATCAACTTAAATTGGCGGTTTATGAATAGTGCTGGACTATTAATCTTGAACCTATATAAAATCTATGTTTTTTTTCATTTTGGTACTGTATCTGAATTGCTGAACCTATCTTATTTAAGGTTGGGCCACGAAAGAGGAAGTTATTTGTTATTCGAGAGAAGGACGCTCTGGAGCCATGGATGAAAAAGTTCCTCGTAGAAGTAAGTGCTATTCTTACTGCTTCAGATGTTCATAAATTCATTCTTTGGTATACTACTCCATCTAGGATCGTTCTGGGCCGAATGTCATGTCTTACGTGGACTTCTTGTGCTACATCCATCGTGAGATCAGAAACATACTCGCTTGATCGGATTGTTACGCTCAGTAACATCATCTGCCAGTTCGATTGTGATGCACAATGTTCATTATTGTTAATACGTTGTCTGTTCTCACCGTATTTTATTTATATAATTTAGTGTCTTCATTCTGGAACGTTTGTTCCTCTATTGTGTGATAAGAGCGGTCCATTCATAGCTTAAAAGATTTCTTGTGATTTTTCCACCTGCAAGTCCTGTATGCGTGTAATAATTTCTTTCCTTTTCATGTAATTCGTAAATGCTATAGAAAGATTCCCGATATAGATGATTGTTACGTTTTGGGCCGTGTCTGGTATTCGACATCAGCTGAAAAGACCTGATGATTTTACTTCTATTATTTATGTTATTGAACTTAATTGTAAAAGTATGGGCGGGATGGGTTTGTTGGTTTTTTTTTCAGAGAGATGTTTTTTTCATATTTTTCCCCGAGTCTGTGGTGCATGCTATTATTTAATGATAAAGTAGAATTTATAATATCGCAGTTGTCATTTTTCCGGGTTGAGAGGCAGCCAAGTTATTTCTTTCATCTAAATGTTGTGGTGTGTAAGAGCGTGAACGGATCAGGAATCAAAAAAAAAACGTATCTCAGTAATAATGTAGCGCCCCATGCAATCTAGTGCGAGAGTGTTTTCGAAGTATGTGACGCAATGTTCATGTGTGATTGCATTGCGGAATGACGTCTTACTTCTTTAATAGCTTCGTCTATCTTTTTCTTTTTAAAATCTTCATTAGTCGTCTCCTTTTCTTCTCATGGTGTTATTGTGAATTACGCATCATGGCGTATTCTTTGTTAGATTATCCCATAATTTCTGTTCGATTTTCGACACTTCCATCTAGTTCTATCCTTCCCAGAACTCAGTCGATCAAAAATATAACCACCTTCGTAATAACTGCTATGATTTGCTGAAAAGTCGAAGGTATTTGTCTCCTGGAATGAATGAAGCTGGAGTTGGAGAATTCGGCAAGGTTTTTGGGGTGGTTGTATTTCTTGGTTTTTTTTTCTCGCAGCTACTGCTTCAAGGCGCTGTGAAGGGAGGCTCTAATGCAGTAATGTCAGGGCTGTACGATGGACATGGTATCGTAGTCCAGCCAATTTCTCTCAAGGTGGCGAGTTATAATTTGCAATGTGAGGTCGGGCGCTCATTTGGAGAAAGGAGATTTTGAGACGTTCAAGACAGTACCCTCGCACTGCTGTGACCAACCTCGGTGGTGGACGCGCTGGTCTAAATGACATGCCCAGCCGTTCCAAAAGCAACATCCTTTGGACGTGGGGTTCGGACTTTTCTCACAATCAGGTAATCACGCGTGCTTCTCGGTTATGGGTCGGGTGGTGCTTTCATCGT